GTTTTCTATAATATCTCTCTCTTGAGACTTCCCTGTTCTTTTGGGCATTGCATCAACATGCTATAAATCATACCCTTCTGGTGAGGTCAGGTGCTATCCAGACAGCTCTGCCAAAGCAGGGCTGCACATGCTTTTTTGCAAAAGAAACTCTGGGATGGGAAGCAGAGCCGGACAGGCGAGAGTGGATATTGTCATTGGCTTAAAAACCTTCATGCCCTGGAGCAGGATCAAAGACGCTCTCCTAAATAAAGTTTTCCTATGAAAATGCTTTCAGGAAGCATTTTATGGACTAACAAGAAACAGCTTTCTTCCAGGATTTCCTAAGATACATTCTGGAATCTGGTTACTACCATGCACTTTTTGATGCCTGAAATCCGTTTGCCAGAAAATTAGACATATTCATAGTGCTGTTGTGTTATGTTTCAGTAATGATTTCCAAACTCATCCTCAATCTTATTCTCCATCAGAGCAAACACAGAAGGGTAATTATATCTTCAGAGAGAAAAATAATCACAACTGCTCAGCCCTAAGGGAGCCATGCTAAATGTTAACCCTGATCACACATGGTGGTCTTCCCATCACTAAGCACCCCTCCTGCATGTCCACTGACCACTTTTCATGGCTGGAAGACACTAGGCTGGGACAACTTTGGTTTTGTCTCCCTGAGTCCACCATCCATTGCACTCAGCATCTCGATCCGGGCATAACCCTCCCACCCCCAGTTGGGACTGGAACACCCAGTGAGGGCCTGCAGCCTGCTTTTCAAGATGTTATAGCAGCAGTCAGCTCCAAATGCTAATGGAGTCCAACTCGCAAAAAGTCAGCCCTGTACATCCAGCCCAAGGACGATCATCTTAGGCTTCACTCCTCATCGGCTCCCTGGGTGTGGCTGTGGTTTAAAATGCAAGGCATGGATCTGAAGGGCGGGTCTGTAGCAAGTCCGCAGCCCCTCACCTTGCCCATGGCTGCGGCCTTGACTTCCTTCTTCTCAATCCTCAGAGACTCTCCCGTCTGAACGGTCTTCCCTATTACCTTATTTAAATATTCCTTCCTGCCGTTCTCTGTCCCACCATAGTATGAGCTCCCTCATGTCCCTCTGCATCAATGCTGGTCGTCTCTTTCCAAAAGCCTCCCTTCATCGCCCTCTTCCATTAAGCCAAGTCTCTTCCCAAAAGGCCAACAGTCGAGGACAAGGTCCAGCAGTTTACTATGCCCTGGCAGCTTGCACTTTTGAGAAACTAGAGCTGCCCTCCCCAGAGGGAGAATCAGGGCCACAGTCCCCTGGCCTGAGCTGACTACATCCACATTAGAGAGGGCATGCCAGAGCAGGGGGGCAGTGTGGCCTCCTGAGGGTTAAAAAACCAAACAAACAGATCTGAGCTCCCAACATACAGCTCCCCTCTGTCAACCCCGCATCCTCTGCGGTACCCACCCCTGGACTTCGCCCGCATGTGCCGGCCCATCCAGTCCCTGAGCCAATCCTGAACGTCAGCAATCTCGGCCCCACCCTTCCACAGGACTTGTTCCCACAACTGGTATCTGGTGGTGCCCTGAGCTGAGTGCAGGCCCCACCCTGTCCCATCGCATCTGCCACTGTTGCCCTAACCTTCTACTCAGGTTTTAGACTCAGGTCCCGTGACTCTAGAAATGGACCTAGCAAGCTAGGCAGGGATCCTGAGGGCACTTTAAGCTCTTGCAAGCCCAATTTCCCAATGAACAAGCAGGGTCCAATCCAAGATTTGGATTTCTTTAGACTGTCACACATATGACACAAACTGTAAGTATCATACAATGATGATTTGGTCAATGATGAACTGCATATGTAACTGTGGTCCCGTCAGATTGTAATGCTGTATTCTTTCTGCACCTTCTCTATGTTTAGATATGTTTATATCCACAAATAGTTACCATTGTGTTACAATTGCCTACAGTATTCGTACAGTAACATGCTGTACAGGTTTGTAGTCTGGGAGCAATAGGCTATACCACAGAGCGGAGGTGTGTAGTAGGCTATGCCATCTAGGTGTGTGTAAGCTCACTCTAGGATGTTCAAACAATGATGACATTGCCTGGAACTTTTTTCCTCAGAACTTTTATCCCCATTATTAAATGACACATGACTGGATTCTGCTCAATGAATTACCACAAAGTAAATAATATCCACGTCACCACTTAGGTCAAGAAATTGAATACTATTAGTATTCAATTCTAGCACCCTAGAAATCCAACTTGTGCCCCTCCCAATCTCTACCCACCTCCTCCCAATACACACCATTCTTCTGACTTCTAACACTGCAGCTTAGTTTTGCCTGCTTCTGAATTTTGTATGCACAGAATCGTACAACATGCATTTTTTGAGTGTGTGTGTGTGTCTGGCTTCTTTCATTTCACATTGTTTTAGGATTCAGCCTTGTTATATGTAGTTTCACATAATTCGTTTTCATTTAATCTCATTCATCTTCATATTACACTCAGTCAAATACC